GTGAAATACAGTATGGAATCCATAATTGTTTATATATTGATTGGTTTAAATGAAGAAGGAATTTAATAGAAAGAGAGGTGGCTGTGCGATAAGGAATAGAAGTATTATAAATAGTAGAAATAAGGTCAATAGGAACTAGGCCAGATAAGGTAGAAATAAGGGATGGTAGGTGAGAAAAGTTGTGCAGTTTAAAACTGTTAAGTGTAAGAATTTCTTGATGTAGATTAGAAACAGAATTAGCAGACATGTCAAGAGCAGTAGCATTTAGGATGCAATTAAGAGAATTAGAGATTAAATGATAAATTGTGTGAGTGGAAGGACAAAGAGTCCAGTGTAGTGAGGAACTAGTTTGATTGATTGATTATATAAATAAAACAAAGTAAATAATAGATATATATAACAAAATAGTCTAATAAAAACATGTTAATTAAACAAATTAAATATATAAGTATTATATTAGATAAGAGTATGATAATCTAGTGAAGTGAATAAATTGTTAATCTTAAGTAACAGATCTAAAGTTCAAATCTCAGTAATGATAAAAATTTGCAATTCTTTTTATGTTATAGTTAATTGTTTTTTGTAATCAGTTGAGATTAGATATCTGTAAACTGTATCATATTAGCATAACTAAAAGGTTTAGATATTGTTAAATATTATATAAAGGAACACAAACTAGTATCAGGTAGTGTAAATCTATAATAAATCTTTAAATCATATAAATCACAGAAACCAGGTAGAAAGATAAAAACCTATTTGGAAGATCTAAGTAAAGAAGTAATCTAAACTTTCAATGATACTACTATAAAAACTAAATCTATAAAATAAAGTTAGAACTTATAAAGCTAATTAAATATGCTAGCTTTTAGAAAAGGACTAGATGAACTAACTAGACTATTAGAATTTCTGAATTTTGAAGAAAAAAAATACATGTTAAAGAATATATAAATCAGAGGTATGGTTTCAATCTATCTTTTTAGACTATCTGAATTAGTAGCTTAGTAAAACTTAAATTAAATATCAAAGTAATAAAAATATATTATAAAGTTAGTACTAGAGTTAAAATAAACTTTACAAAAGCATAACAGTTTAATGATATACTCTGACTATTAATGTTAGTCTCAATCATAGTGATATTAGATCAACTATAAGAATATGATACAGAAGATTCTGAAAGATTTAATATAAAATCAAAGATTCTTTATATAAATAAACTGTTTTAAAAACTTAATAACTATAATATATTTTCACCAGAATCAGCTAAGGTTATTGATAAGCAGAAATAAATAGATGAATACAGAAACTAAAATAGTTAAATAAAAAATTTACAAGCAGGCTTCAAGTATGACAACTAGTATAGAACCTTTGGATAAACTACTTAAATTAGACAATAACTAAAATTATATAAGTAACAAATTGTATACTCTTTTTATGATTGCTCCCTGTGGTTGTAATGCAACTATTAACCAAATATACTATCAATAAATTCTGGATTACAAGTACTTATCTTAATATTTAAAAAAAAAAAGATATTATATTAGGCATATGAATATAGAAACATTAAGAAAAGTAGCACAAATAATAAATAATATAACAATGCAAACAAAAATAAAAAAGTCAATAACATCAAAATTGGTAAAAAAAAGCGCAAATATAGAACTAGAATAAATAAATATCAAAGAATTAAAGCTAGAATTTTTAAAACATTTACAAAAAAAGCCTGCAATTTATTGAAACGTTAATATATCGTTCATATGTTTGAAAAAATAATTATTACATAGTAAACAGCATGCAAAACTCCTACAATAACTAATAAACAATTAAAGTTAGGTGACTTATATTTCAACCAATCATATTCAATATGATGATCGAAATCAACAACCAATCAAATCGACTTTATATCATGCTTTTAAGGTTAGGGTTATCTAAAAGGACGTTACACACGATCTTGCATTCTAATTGGTCGATCAGGGGGTAACTATTGCGATAAATAATTACAATACGTACCTTTAATGGTCATTTGCATTAGCGATGCCCCGTTATCGCAAAAAATTAAATCGTGAACAGACTCAAAAAGAACTAGCAGAACTGGAAGGAAAATGCAAAGCTTTGGTAAACAAACTTTTCTTGTTTTTTGAGTAACCACCTCGAATCATAACATATTTTTTATTAGATAATCGATTCGAAGCTCGAAACATTCAACGAATTACCTCTATCAACTTTGACTTTGAAAGGCTTACAAGAAGCAAATTATGTTGAAATGACCGAGATTCAACGTAAGGCGCTCCCTCTCGCTTTACGTGGAGAAGACATTTTAGGAGCAGCCAAAACAGGCAGCGGAAAAACTTTAGCTTTTTTGATCCCAGTAAAGAGAATAATGTCTGATTTTTAATTTCTTTCTTGTTCCTTTTTTTATTAATTCTAACTTTTACTTCTATTGATTCGGTTTTCACAGTTAATTGAAACATTACATCGACAACAATGGTCGCAGTTGGACGGATTAGGTGCCCTTGTGATAGCACCAACACGAGAGTTGGTATGGTTTATTAGCAATGTAATTCTCATTTAACATGTATATCTCTTTTCATACATTAATATATTATTTTATAGGCTGTTCAAATTTTTGAGGTTCTTCGAAAAATTGGACGGCACCACTTTCTATCAGCTGGACTTATCATTGGAGGAAAAAACTTGCATATTGAACAAGAGCGTATTAATAGAATGAATATTCTTATATGCACACCCGGGCGCTTGTTACAGCACATGGATCAAACTGTAGGTTTTACCTGTGATAATTTACAAATCCTAGGTATTGTCAATTTATTTTATTGTCATGACTCCAAAGATTGTGGGAATCAAATGGATCAACCATTTTTTTTATATGCTTGATAGTTTTAGATGAAGCAGACCTGATTCTTGACATGGGTTTTGAGAAAACGGTTAATGCTATAATAGCTAATATTCCTAAACATCGCCAAACTCTTTTATTTTCGGCAACATTGACTAAGTCTGTTAAAGATCTTGCTCGATTGAGCCTTGAGGCATGTCCTGAATTCAAATGATAGTTTTAGTTTCTAGCATAATTTATTTTTAATACGTATCGTATATATAAAAGAATCCAGAACACGTGGCCGTGCATGATGGTTCTGACCAGAGTACACCACCAAGTTTGTTGCAACATTATTTGGTGTGTGAACTACCTGAAAAACTAGACATTCTATTTTCATTTATTAAGTCTCATCTTAAAGCGAAAGCTTTGGTATTTTTGTCTAGTTGCAAGCAGGTATGAAATCGTTATCTGTTTAAATTACGATATATTCTAATAAATAGCCAATTATATAACAAAATTTCCAGGTCCGCTTCGTGTTTGAAGCTTTCTGCAAAATGCAACCAGGAGTCATATTACTTCATTTGCACGGAAAACAAAAACAAACTAAACGTGTAGAAATATTTAATAAGTTTTCTTCATTAAAACACGCATATTTGTTTGCCACGGATATAGCGGCAAGGGGCTTGGACTTTCCAGCCGTTGATTGGGTAATACAAGTAGATGCTCCAGGGAATGCAGACACATACATTCATCGTGTAGGACGTACAGCAAGGTATGAAGCTTCTGGGCTTGCATTGCTATTGTTGTTGCCAAGTGAAGAAGAAGGGATGAAGAAAGCTTTAGAACAAAAGAAAGTGCCAATTGGAAAAACTAAGGCTAAACCGAGCAAAACAATGAGTATACAGAAACGATTGCAATCTTTCTGTTTTCAAGATCCAGAAATTAAGTATCTGGCACAGAAGGTTAGTGAAGATTAAATCACTGTACTATTTTTTTTGCTTAGAAGAACATATATAGGTCATTTCTTTGTTAACAAATTTTTCATACGTTACATATTAGGCTTTTATATCATATATGCGGTCAGTTTATCTTCAAAGTGATAAATCTATATTTAAAATAGATGAATTACCCGCAGAAGCATTTTCCGCTTCTCTTGGGTTACCTGGTGCGCCAAAAATTAAATTCATTAAAGTAACGTATTATTATGCTTATTGTTTAGTGTCACATTATCTGCATAATCACTCTAATGATATACTGTTATATAGAAATCACAATTAAAAAATGCTATTCGTGAAAAGCCTAAAGAATCGACTGATGATGAAAATTCGAAAGATAGCCAATCATCAGATTCTGATGATGCTTCTGATGAAGAAAAGAAAAAGAACTCAAAACCAAAAACTAAAATAGAAAGAATTTTTAATCGTAAAAATATGTCCGTTTTCGCTGATCACTATAAAAAGCTTGTGGATCAAGAAAGTGACAATATTACGTGTGACGACGATGAGTTCATTACTCTTAAACGTGTTAATCATGAACTGCCTACGGAATTAGAACAAACAGTAACGTATTGGAAAAATGTTATTCAGTTACTTATCTTATTGTAATCAATAATGTAGGAGTTATCTGTCAAAGATTTTGATAGGTTGTTGCCGCAATATGATTAGTAACAGTTATACTTACCGGCCAAATCCCAAACTATTATAGCTTGTGTTTGTCCGCGCCCAAATCCCAAACCCGAGCCTAAACTAATATCTCAAAAACTTTATTAATAATCTTTATTTAAACAAATGATATATATTCTTATAGCTATATATAATATATTTACAAAATATCAAAATTATTTTGTTGATTTAAACTTTTATAAAAACAATTATTTTGGGGGTTTGGGATTTGTCCGGGTTTTCAACTGTCCGCCAATGATTTCCTATTGTGGCAGATAATTAATTTTCAATTTTTTAAAAATTACAGGTTTCGCATACTAATCTCGTACACCCCTATCAATAACATACCCACACCGAATATTAAATATCAATTAGTAAATATTTAAAAGAATGTCAGAGTGTACGAAATTGGTATGCGAAACCTGTATTAAGAAAAATCAAAATTATCCGTCATAGTAGGGCACAGTGATGGACAATGACTTTTGATGACCATAGTGATTTACGTGACTTAATCACTAGTCATTTATCACTCTCAGAAATTAGATAAATATTCTATAATTTAGTGATTTTGTGATTAGGAAAAAAATCCAAATGACTTAGTCGTTGTTCATCACTGGTAGGACATAGTGACATTACTTATAATTTTATTATATTTACTTGGTTTTGTTTTTTTTTATGATTATCTGTTAGAATCGTGAGAAATTGTCAAAACGTAAGCTTTTAAAGGCCAAGTCAAAGAAATTCGCGATCAAAAATGCGTCTAGGGGAAATAAGCTTGTATTCGATGATGATGGAAATGTAATTACAATTGTTTACATTGTTAATATATTTGGCATTTCAGTTTAATTTATGATATTTGTTATTTTCAGCCTCATCAAGTATACGAATTTCAAGATGAAAAGACATTCCTTGATAGTGCATTAGCGCAAAAGCAAGAATTTCTTGAAAAAGAATTAGAAGTAATGAAAAAGAAGGATGAAGTGGATAAAATGACTGCAAGGGAGAAAAAACGTAGAAAATTAAAGTAATAGCATCACATTTGTTGCTATATAAAATTATTTAATAAACCTTTGGACAATTTTGTACTAGTTCAAATTAGGTTTGATTTATTCAATATTTTATTGTTCAGAGCATAATGGAGGACATTAAATGATTAATAAAAGTAATACAGAAATTAAAAAATTTTTTATGCATCAAAATGTTGGTTTGATTTGCCTAATTAATTTATAATTAGGTTTTATGATTTGATTTGATTTAATTTAATTCAAATACAGAAATTTTTAAATTAAATTAAATTTAAATATGATTAAATTTGATTTAATTTAAAATTTTATAATATAATATTATTACTGCTGATATAGTCAAACCTATCTAAAGTCATCTTTTTTATATTCATATTTTTTTATAATTACATAAAATTTTAAGATCAACTTATATAATACTTATAAAATTTAACTTTTATATAAGTTAGAATATAGTAACTTAGTGAAATAAATAAGTTTTCAACCTCCTAAGTGGTAGGTTGTGAGTTAAAACTCACTAATAATAAAAATTTGGATAATTATCTATATATTATACAGGTAGTATTATAATAACAGCATTATGTTAATCAGTTAAGATAAGTTACTTGTAATTATGATCATATTAGCATGACTGACAGGTTACAGATATCTGTATAATCTTGGTTATACAAAGAAATGCAAACTGATACTAGGTAATGCAAATCTAAAATAAGTTCTTGTGGTTGTATAAATTTATAGAACTGGACAAAATCAGAACTCACTTAGAAATTCTAAATAGAGAAGTAGTACAGATCTTTAATAGTATTACTGTAAAAGCTATATCTAGAAAACAGATACTAATGTAAAAAAATTGAACAGACAAGAACCTTAAGTAAAGGATATTACCAATTAGGTCATTGAATTTTAAATTGAAAAAAAAGTATATTGGATTAGACTCAATATATCAAGAACAGATTATAGTTTTACTGAATTATTTGAATTGGAAGTTTGAAAACAAAGTAGTGTATACTAAAAATATTAAGAATATGCAATAAAATCAATATTACAGTCTGAATGAATTTTACAAAAATAACTTTTGTTAATATTTCTAAAAGTGATTAGATAGCTAATAAGAAGATCTCTTGTATTTTACTAACAGGTAATGTATTCTAAAATATATAATGACCTAGGAACTAGTACAAAAAGAGTAAATATCATATTGTTTAAACAATATACTAAATATATATAGAGGATATAATAATATTCATAAATAACAAAATAGATAATTAAAGAGTTTAAAATAAATAATCTTCTAGTAGAGTTTAGATATAACATCTAGTATAGAACCTTAGAGTGAATTACTTAAATAAACAACTAAAAGTTATATATATAACTAGTTGTACTCTCTTTTTAATAAAAAATAATATAAATTAATCCCAATAAAGTCAATAAAAATTTATTATAAAGTATACTTTTAATAAAAAAAAAAACTTTATATAGACACAAACTTCTTATAAGCATCAAATTATTAAAATAAGAGTGTAATTATAGAAAAGTTTAACTATATATTATATTTTATAAAATAAATTAAAAAGCTTAATAATAAAATTAAATCTAATAATTGTTATTTTAAATTATACTTTAAGATTATATATACTATAATATTAAGATTTAAAAATTGAATGTTTTTTAATATTAAGATAATTAATTTAGTTTTTTAATTTTTATTAACACTTTTTTGATAATATGTTTTATAAAAAACTATTACAAAAAGAGTATACAATTAGTTATATATATAATTTTGTTATATTACTTATTTAAAAAGTTTATTTAAATGTTTTTTATTAATTGTTATATCTAATATTCTTGCTTAGATGTTTTATTTTAAACTCTTTAAATTTATAATTTGTATTAGCATTACTAGGTTATATTCAGGTTATTATTTTAATTTTAAATTATTTTATTCTTGAAATAAACTTTTAGAACTTTTTGTACTTATTTTTATAGTTGATCTAATATTACTATAACAAAATTAATATTTGTAATTAGAGCTAGTTATTAAACTGCTATGATCTTACAGAATTTATTTAAACTTCGATACTATTTTATAACATATTTAAAATACTTTAGTATATTGAGTATTGTTATTAAACTTCTAATTTAGGATGTGGTAACTTAGTAAAATAAATAAGTTGTCATACTCCTAAGTAGTAAGTAGTGAGTTCAAAACTCACTAATAGCAAAATTTGAATAATCATCTATGTAATATATAGATAGTATTATGGCAATGGCATTCTGTCGATTAGTTGGGATAGGATACCTGTAACTATAGTTGCACCAGCAAGACTGGCAGGTCTAAAGCATCTGTGTAACTTGTTACACAGAGGAATGCAAACTGGTACTAGGCAGTGTAAACCTAAAATAAGTTCTTAGGCCATATAAATCAATAGAACTAGAAAGCTGAAGCCTACTTGAAAATTCTGAGCAAAGAGATAACATAAATCTTTGATAGTACTACTATAAAGGCTAGACCTAGAAAATGAATACCAATGTGAAGAATTTGGGCAGACAAGAATTTTGAGTAAGAGGTACTACCAACTAGGTCACCAGATTTCAGACTAGAGGAAAAGAATATTAGACCAGCCTCAATATACCAAGGACAGATCACAGTTCTTCTAGGCTATCTGGATTAGAAGTCTGAATTCAAAGCAGAGATATATGAAAAGTACTAGGGAAGTCAGTACTGAGGTCTGGGTGAACTCTATAAGAGTAGCTCATATTAGTGTTCTAAAAGTGAATAGATAGTTAATAACAGGGGGCCCTCTACATCTTACTGGCAGGTGATGTACTCTAAAATATGTAATGGCCTAGGAACCAGTACAAAAAGAATAGGTAACCATACTGCTCAGACAGTATACTAGTTAGATATATACAAAGGGTTAATTGGAGATTTCAATATGACAGAGCAGATGATCAGAGGGTTTAAAATGAATAATCTCTTAGTAGATTATAGGTATAGCATCTAGTGTAGAACCTTAGAGCAGACTACTTAAATAGCATCCAAAAGTTGCATGTGTGACTAGCTGTACTCTAATCTTTGTAAAAATAGTTGTAATAGCTAATCCAATATAAGTCAATAAAGTATTGCCACAAGTATGGTCTTTAACAAAAAAAAAAAAAAAAAACTTCTAATTCAAATAGTTAAATAGAACTATGATCAGTTTTTTTTGATATATCAAATTAGTATAATATTTTTTTTTGATTCATTCTAGCAACCTGATTAGTATTACCTTTTATTTAGAAGTTCTTGCTTGTTTAGCTTTTTTATATTAGTATTATTTTATAAGACTAGTTTTTATAATATTATTATCAAAGATCTGTATTATTTTTCTGCTTAGATTTTTCTAAATAAATTTCTTGTTTTCTAATTTTAATAAATTTATATAGTAGAGAATAGCAATCTTAGTGTAGTAGTTGAGTTGTCATCCTCCAAGCAGTAGGTCTAATGTTCAATTTCTATTAGTAACAGATTTTGAAAAAATAGTCCTATTCTAGCAAACTTATCTGTGATTTGGAGTTTGTAGATCCTGTAATTCTGGTTATACTAAGACTAACTTTGGAAGTATGCAATGTTATATAAATAAATCTGAAAAGTATATACTCAGATTAGAAGCCTGCTTAGAAATCCTGAATAGAGAGGTAGTACAACTTTTAACAGTGTCACCTGTAAAGATCTTGATCTGAAGAAGAAAACCTAAAGCAAATAACCTGTACAAGCAAGAACCTTTAGGTAGAGGGTTTATCAACCTGGTCCTGGTTGATCTGAGCATGAAGTCACATTATACAGAGCTAACTGAATTGGTAATATAAGAGAACTTGCAAGAGTAGATGAGGTATTGATAAGGTTGTAAAAGGAAAGTACTGGGATTGTATGAACTTCACAAAGGTTGTAAACTAGGTTTAGCTGTAAATTGGAATACAGATAGTTTTAGTAATGATGTCTTGAGGATAACTTGCATAAAATAAAGCAGAAGTCCTAAGAGTATGGATATGCATCTAGAACTTCTTAACTGATATCATATAACAGAGATATTTTAGTAATACAGTAAAGATTGAAGTACAGAGGGTTTAAATAGGCAACACCTGTAGTTGGGTTGCAGATATGACAGCTAGTATAGAACTTATATATAGGCAAACTACTTAAATTAAACACCAAAAGTATACATGTGGCTAAATGTACTTTCTAATATAAGATAGCTTCTCTGAGGTAATTAGACTATGAGCTATCATATTCTACTATACTAAATAAAAAAACCCTAGTTCTCAAAAAACTAGTTTAAATAAAAAAAAATAAAAAAAATAAAAATAAATTTACATAGTTATAAAAACTTATTTAAAAAGAAATATGGTGACCTAGTGAAGTAAATAGATTGTTAACCCTTAAGTGGCAGGTCTAAGGTTCAATATTCATATATAACAAATTTTGGAAATTATATCTGTGTTATGATAACTGTCCCTTGCTAATTGGTTGAGTTTTGGGCATCTGTAATCTTAGATACATCAAGTCAGGTCCTATCTAACATTGGGAGCTCAGAGCATCTATATGAAATATAACATTATATATACATAGAGAAATATGAAAAACTAATGTTGTATAAAGCTTCAGTGCAAAACTGTGATAAGACCACAAGACATAGAAGGCTAAGAAACTGAGAAGACAGAAAACTACTTAAAAATCCTAGTAAAGAGGTAGCACAAACTTTTGATAGTGCCATTGGACTAATAAAAGGCTATAAAACATCTTTATAGAAACTATTAGATAAACTGGATGACAAGATCTGTAGAGAAGCATATAACCAACCAGGCTGCTGAAATCACTAGAGAAAAAGGATACATAAGTATACTATACTGGGCCATCTGGATTGGAAGTTTGAGAAGTCAGTTAGTTCTAAGTTGTAGCTAGTAAAAGATGATAAAGAAGAAGTTAGAAAGATGGGTACCAAAGTTTGACTGAACTTTACAAGGAT